ATCAGTATATACATACTTTAACTCTAATAATACAATAAGTAACAACAATACAACTGATCAAAGACTATATGAATCAACATTTATAATACCTAAATATAAATTTTTTTCTTACATTTTACTCTTAAATTTTTCCTACACTTTCTTCACTCTCAAATCAATACTTTCAGCAAAGATCTTAAGTCAATACTATTCATAGCTGAAATACACGATCTTTTTAAATAACATAAGGGTAGTTGTCGATTTACAACCACAGTTGGGACCATAACCTGTTGTTAAATGAATCATGCCCAATTTTATGATATTTATGTCATGGTTGTTAAGCACATCACCATGGTCATTAAATTAATTTGGCTTCCTCCATTGATTTTGGTTGTTGGAAGTCCCTTGGGATGGTTGTAAATGGTGATCATGTGACCTCAGGATGCTGCAACCATCATAAATATATGCCAGGTACCAAGCACCTGAATTTTGATCATATGACCATGACAACATATAGGATCAGTGATAACTTTGAACAATAGTAAAACAAGTGATGGTAAGTTGAGGACTATCTGTAATAGTCCTAGTACTAACAACTAGAGCCACACAAGAGTTCAATTAGCTGTTTTATTGCTAAAGCCCATGTACAGGAATCTTTTCAGACTGGGTAAAATTAATGTTCAGTGGCACTCAAGAGGGGTCAGACTTCTCCATCTTGTGCCCACATAGGAATTCCAGACTAATTCCCCATTTAACTCTCCACCTGGCTTAGCCAGTCTCTTTCCAACATAAATATTCAATGTAATATCTTAAAATGTAATGCATTTTTTATCGTTGTAGCATCAAAAAAGGTTTTAGTAAAAATAAACATTGTCTTAGTTTGATGAGTAGGTCAATGTAACTGAGTAAGACAATTCAGTTATTTTGGAAAAAAACATTGGTGTTTGTGGCAAAATCTAGTCAAAAGTCTGTATGTTCCCAGTGGTGTAAGTTACTTGCTAAATAAATTGGCAATCTAAGATTGCTATTAGGAAATATAGGATGACTTTTTTCCTGTTTGGAAAAATAATTTAAAAATATCAGATTTGTTTCTGGGGATTTATTTGGTCTATAGTGCCCATCAGAACACATACGCTAATTAATACTAATATCATGGCAGCTACTCAACATCAACTTCTGCTTAGATATTAATATATTTGTGTAAGGATATTCTGTTTGCTCTAAAACACATCTAAATTTCAAATAAAAAAATAAAAATTAACCATGTTTTGACATAAGGTATGAGCTGCCTCTAAAAGTAACCATGTGCAGACCTTGATGCATTTTGATATATTGCAGAATTGAATAGTAGTAGAAAACAAAATCAACCTTTAATCAGGCTGTGCAAGGAGGGGAAAGTGTATAAGAAATAAATGGGAACCATTGTTATCAAGTAGCTACATTACCATAACTAGAGGCGTGTTCTGAAATTATATTCTAATTAAAAATCTTGTATGTAATTAGGATTGTTTTAAAGTAATGATGACTGAAGGAAGATATAATAATAATAATAATAATAATAATAATAATAATAACAACAATAATAATAATGATAATAATAATAATAATAAAGTTGGAAGGGACCTTGGAGGTCATTTAGTCCAATCCCCTGCTCAGGCAGGAAACCCTATACCATTTCAGACAAATGGCTGTCCAGTCTCTTGGAGACTGGACAGTCTCTTGGAGCATTCACCGCTTCTGGAGGCAGGTTGTTCCACTGGTTAATTGTTCTAATTGTCAGGAAGTTTCTCCTTAGTTCTAGGTTGCTTCTCTCCTTGATTAGTTTCATGGTCTATATTAATCTGAAAGTTAATCATGTTCAAGAGGGAGTGGGTCTATTTTGTTTTGAAACTGAGGTTAATATTGAAATTGAAAGAAAAGACATTCAAGCTGAATATTAAAAGGAATTTCTTGACAATAAGAGCTCACTAATAGCTGAATGGTCTGCCTATTACAGTAGTAAACTCTCCTTTTTAAGTTGGATCTCAGCTATCAAGGATGGGTAGGAGTAGATGACCATGAAGTCCCTTCCAATTAGATTCTAGTTTCCTATGAAATGAATACCTGCCTGTATAATATTTCAAGTTTATATTGATTTCATATGGATCTATTTAAATATTACAGCTTTGGACTAGGCTTTCTATAAGTGCTTTCAGCAGTGAAATAATATTTGTGCTGCCATTCTATTAAGTAAAATGTTCCATGGTATTTAAAGCAATTGCTCATCATCATTTTAAGACTAACTAACATTAATAGAAGTACACCTCAGAGGGAATGAAAAAAATGAGTTCTTTATATATTTAAATACTAATTTGTACTGCTCCAGCTAGTTCTGTTTAAAGCAATTTTTTACAGTTGCTATTTATTATCATAAGTAACTGAACTGCGTAAGCAAGTTAATTTAAACTCTAGGTTAGTCATATGAGCAAAGTTAATTCCTTATTAAATAACTGCTACTCATCAAATTCGTCCTTTCTGGATTCATCTTTTGTCTGTTTAATATGGACTAACTCTAATGAAGATGTCACGAGAATAGATAGCAAGACACCCACATCTGATAGTTGTGAATGAGTTGATAGGGAAATTGGGTATTTGACACAAGTCTCTTCAGCTTCAAAACAATTTTTTTAGTAATTCTTTTTATCAATATAATGTAAAAATAGTTTAATTTTAAGGCATTTGTTTATTTTTTGAAGATATTGTTCAGATTTGAGACTAAAAACATTGTGTAGGAATCTGATTTTCTGCTAATCTAAATTGGCTGCAGAATGCTCATTGTTAGTGATCTATGGAGTGGTAAAATAGGGTGGAATGGGATCTGGATTTAGCACTTTAGGGATGGATTATTGGATTATTTCCTCCACCTCCTCCCCATTTCTAGGCATCATTTATATTTCCATCCATTCCTTGCACTGATGTAGTTCACCTTGCAGTTCTTACCAAAGCAAAGAAGCTAAAGAAACTATTAGGGCAGAGACAAGTTGTCATAAAAGACCGTTAATTAGTTGGAAAGTCAGGTTTTAAAAATGATGAAGACAGATCTGGTTTTTAACTTGTAGCTGAGTCTGGAGAAGACATCTACAAGCCTTGATACAGTCACTACAAAAGGATCATTTTACCCCAAAGCAGCAATACTCATCTCTTTAACAAAATGGCAAGAAGACATGAAAGCAACCTTTCTGCATTATTCATACGCATATCAAAGGTTTCACTTGGGATTGCCAGTATTCCTTCAGACGCTCTAAAATATTGTCTGATCACAGATATTCAAGCTTGCTTAGTATTTAATTGAAGAAATCAAAAGAAACAAACACAGTTTGTTGGGACGCATGTAAATACTTTTTTAAAAATGTGTTTTACATGAAATTAGTCCCCAAATTATGTTATCTTTCTCTTTGAAAATGTAGGAAATACCAATGCATTCTGATAACAGTAGCTACTCCCTTTTCTTTCTTTAACGGAAAAGTTCTTATATTATTTCTAATGAAATTGATACCTCATATTTATTAAATAACTTTTATCTAGTTATATTAAAGCCTTCTGCGATATACCTGATCAATTTAATGATGGACCAAAGGCTAAATGGACTATACAGATGGGTGAAAATTGTTCAGGTTATTAAAGTATTATCTTGTATCTCTAAAAAGACAATATATTGTGCAATCTAAAAAACAACTTACCCTGTTCAGTGATTGTAACTGATAATCTAAAAGGTTCAAATGAAGTTTGCATATTTCATAGCAATCTGATTTCTTTAATAGGTGAACATTATTCCAGTTATAGCCAAAGCAGATACAATTTCTAAATCTGAACTACAGAAGTTTAAGATCAAAATAATGAGTGAGCTGGTCAGTAATGGAGTTCAAATATACCAGTTTCCAACAGATGATGAGAGCATTGCTAAAATTAATGCTACCATGAATGTAAGTACATTACCAAAGATATTATACTTAAACTAGAGACTCATTGTCTGCAATCACTGGCTTCGTTTTTGGATAGAGGATAGCATTTTAATGGGAACTCCTGCTGCCATGTTCCTTCAAAAATTCTGGACTTTCATTTCTGGACTGTTCAATTATATTTTATGAGAAAGTATTCCACCATAAGTGTGTTTTTCTTCCATAGAACACAATGTTCATATATGAAATCCGAATTGTATTTGCATTAGCGGCACTTAGAGCATATATTTAAAATTCTTGCTAGAACCCATCTTTACATTCCAAATTTCAGTTTCTTTGAGTACTTATGCTGAAGAAAGTTCTTGAGTGGCTACCTTAACTGCAAGCCTGAAATTACTATGGATATTTTCTTCTTTATATTGTACTGTGGGTGTTTAATTTTTTGTTCTAAGCCATTATGCCTCTGCATCATGGTCTAGTTCAAACTGCCGGCCCGCAGGCCAGATGCATCATGCCGAAATGGCGCCCAGCCCATTGCTGGCAATGGAAAAAAAGTTGAGATATGTCACGTGATGTTGTGAGTTTGACACCCCTGGTCTAGTTATTAAGGCACCAGGCTAGAGATCAGGAAACTGTAAGTTCTAGTCCTGCTTTAAGGATGAAAGCCAACAGGATGACTTTCAGGAAGTCAGTCTGTCTCAGCCTATGATGTCAGGCTCTGATGACAAGCCAGTTGGTCAATTCCTGTTGCAACCAATGATTCAACACTTGGTTGATCTGAAAAAGGAGATCCTGCACTTGCAGGATCGATGGATGGTTGGTTGGATGGATGGATGGATAGATGAATTATATGAGAGAGAGAGGGAGAGGGAGAAGGAGAGGGAGGGAGAGGGGGTTAGGGCTAGGCCTTCTCAATCTTTCTGCTGAGGATAACTCCTTTTTCAGTTTTATAAATCTCTAAAATCTGTTTATGAAAGTATGAGGAGAAATTAAGTGTATATTTTACTGATGTAATACATTTATTAAATATACTCTCTGATGTCTGCATTCCCTATTGGCTGTGTTATAGTCTAGCATGAGAGGCCTTGATGCAATACAAAACTTAATATAGTACTTAGTCCCTCCTTCTGCCATAGTTGTCTCCCTTTACTATGGTGGCAGTGCAAAACTTCTACCACTTTCCATTAAAATTGTCTTAGACTGTCATCTATGTGGGAGGTAGTTCCTTCTTGAGAAAAAATTTATCAGGCCATGTTTAGAGGCACAATGACTCTTGACCAATTCAAAATTTGGGTAAGGATTTGGCAGAGACTTCATTTTTGAAAGAGTGACGCTAACATAGGAATCCTACCCTGAAGCTATTACAGCTTTATTTTTTTTCCAGGCATTAAGACTGCTTTTCAGACATATTCTTCTCAGTTATCAGAAGTCAATTGATATCCTGGAATAGTTATATTAGTATTTCTGGAGTTGCTGCTTGAATAACCCAGATTGTTCCACTAGTATCTCTACAGTTCATAATTTTTCAACTCGTTGGTTGACAGGTTCAGTTATTTATATCTGCTAAAGTTGAAATGAGATTTGTGAAAAATATTCCTATCCATGTTTCAGCCTGAGAAGGTGAGGACTGTTTTCTCAGTATAGTTAGAAAACTGTCTGATCCCTTTTTACGACCAGGAAATTGCCTAAATAGAAATATTGCCCTCTAGGAATAGGAATTTTATGATTTTTTTTCTTTCCCTTTTCTCTTTTAGAATGGAGATTTTAATAACTCTAAATAATTTATAAAATTAGATCCTTGCTTTTCACTAGTACTTATGTTAATCTAGTGTTAGAAAATGAGACAGATTTTAGTGACATTGCTTTGGCAGCCAGAGGATGAGATGTACAACTGATGAGGATCAGCCTATGTGTTCTCTAGAAAGTCCCCAAGTTCATAAACAAGGTTTCACATTCCACTCTTCTGATAGCTAAAAGGTTTCCCAGGTAAATATATCCCCTCCCTTGCCCCTGCCCTGAGGTTGTGGCAGATGTCAAACATGAAACTCAGATGGCCATGTTTACAGGAGGGTAGCCCTTCCCATTCAGGTTTTGGTTAACACATGCAACAGCAGCTCTCTCATCCGTGATAAAATGTATGTATAAATTAGTCAATATGCTAATGTTTTATTCTAGTTTCATCTGTGCCATTTAATGTATTTTCTGTTTCTCAGGGACACTTGCCATTTGCTGTAGTGGGGAGTACAGAAGAGATGAAGATTGGTAACAAAGTCGTAAAGGCTCGCCAGTATCCTTGGGGCATTGTGCAAGGTAAACAAGAGTTTAGACTCTTATTAAATTTTTGATTAAAGGTCTGCTTTTAACTAAATAAGTGTGCATTTTGCAACACTTTAAGGAACTTATTTCCTCTATTTTTTTTTAACAGATTCCAGACTAGAACCAATATTTTTTCATATTCTGGAGCCAGATATATTCCTTAGGTTTTATTAAGTAAAGTTGTTGATTTCAGAAACTGTTAACAACGCTATAAACCTACTTTTAAATAAAATCCTTATCTTGGCCACAATTCGCAGCATACCATTTTGAGAATAATAATAAGTAGTTCTTTTGTAAGTATGATATATGAATCATAGAGGTTTTTATTAGACCCAGATTTAGATTTCCCACTCAGTCACCTTCATTTTCTTTGTCTAACTTGCTATATATTAGGATAAAATGTAAAGAAGCATAAAATGCACTATCCATAGTCTTCTGGAGAAATAAATATGTATGAAACCAGTTTTGGAAAACTCTGGGATAAGTGAGTTTTGATATCTTAAGATCTTTTTTTTTTAACAAATGTAAGATCAGGTTTTAAAAGTATCAAAATGAACTATATATGGATAACAACATGTGCCTCACTGATACATTTTTTCAGTCTACAATTAACACATTAATTTATGACTAAATTACTTTTGATTAGCTCTCTTTATTAGGCATCATGAAAGAATGCTGCTTATTTAAGAACTTTATTTAAAATTATAGAAAGCCTTCATTTCAGTCTTGACTGTAGTTGACAACATGGACAAGTCCCTGCAGTTTTTCCTGGCAGAATTTTTGAAAGTAGCTTCTATTGCTGCCTCACATTCTCCCAGCTTCTATCCAGTGCCTTCACCACTCTACCAAATGGGCTGTCCACTTTTAGATCTAAACTACTTATTTTTGACATCTGTTTAAATATGTGTTAGACAGATATTGATCCACTCTATAGCTTTTAAAATATATATTTAAATATTAATGGGTTATTATTATCCAAAGAAATAAGTAGGAGTATTATTTTTTGCCATAGGGCATTACAGAATTTAAAAAAGGAAGTAATATTTTCAAGAGCTGCTCATTTACATAAATTTTAAGTACTGGATGCCACCTGCAGTTAAATAATTTCTCCATCTTTTATCCCATTTCCATTCCACCTAAAAGTTTCTCCCTAAGAATTGAAATATCTGGCATAGAAGAGAGGTAAAAAAATCAGGAAACAGTTGATTGGAGAAGGCTTGTAGATTGCCATCATTAGCTTTTTTTCTTTCCAGTTGTGATGCTTATTCCGTTCAGTTCAAAGTTTATTTTGGTCAAAAACCAGTATGGAGCAAAACAATGAAGAACTGTTTCAAAGTAAAATAGGAAGGGTGCTAAAGGGATGGTACAAAATATTGTTACCACTGTTTTTGCCAGTATAAACTTTGCCTGTAAAATTAAGAAATAGAATGTTATTTATTTAAAATTATCTTAGTTTATGTAAAACTAACTCCTAAAGCTAAAATTCAAAAACAGAAATAGGTTTTACACACAAACACACACACACACACACACACACACACACACACACAGAGAGAGAGAGAGAGAGAGAGAGAGAGAGAGAGAGAGAGAGAGAGAGAGAGA